ATAATTCTCATAATTTTTTTCATCAAATATAAAATAAAAGTAAAATTAAATAACATCAATACTTTAAAAACAACTGTACAGTTAATATACGAGATGATGGCGCTGGCATTGGTGCTGCTGTTGGTTTTTAGAACTGAGGCATTGTGTTTAAGGTTCATGGAGGGAAAGAAGGCTTGGATGAAGGCATCGTATTCATCGCTCAAGGTCAGAATGATTCTAAAATTTTTCCAGATTCATCTAAATGCAAAAATGAAGTAAGGATTTCTTATAAAGTTCGGTTCATACATTTGTTTTGCTGACCCTTATGATTCTAAATTAAAAGAACCTTTGTTATATTGCATTCAAGTTCTAAATTAACACATGTAAATTTATTTGTGACACTCTGTTATATTGTCTGTCGTAACCAGACTTTGAAGGCGTGAAAGCAAGGAGAGGGAAACACTTGGAGGTGTGTCTTTAACATGCCCAGAGTATTTTTTTTAGGTTCACTTAAGATCATTCCCATTATATAATATAAAACTGCTTCTTGATTAATTTTGTGATGTAAGATGGTTTCATATACTTGATAGACAATTTACTACATTGAGAAGGGGCTAGACTCAGGATCAAAGGAGTCATCTGTTATTGCAAGACTTGTGGTATCATCAAACCATATTGGTTGTTTATTGGAAAAAGGAGGATCAATAATCACAAAAATGCGGAAGACAACTGGTGCTAATATAAAAGTAATGGGGACCGACCAGGCTCCAAAGTGTGCATCACATAACGATAAGTTAGTACAGGTTTGCATATCATTTCTTCTTTGCTTAGTACAGTCAAAGGATGTTGAAGAATCCCATTTGTATTTAAATTTCACTATTATTTCTCTAAATAAATTCTTTCACCCAAATCTTTAGCAACACCTAATTTCTCTTTTGAAAAATCATGAACCTCTATGTCATATTTGGTGTCATTTTGAGATTCATGCCTATACTCTTGTGACTTATTTACTGGAAATTGCAAGTTATTAGTATCCCTTTGCATAGCCATTAATTTTCCTTCTCGAGGTTGTTAAATTATGAAATGAAGTTGGGGAAAAAAATGTTTGCTTGGTGTTTGATTTCATGGCTAATAGTACTTTTGATTGATATCCACCCTACACTACAAGCATCAGATAGAACATCTCAAACTTTGATAAATTCCAACAAATCTACCTATTGCAGTTAATGGAGTCATAATTACTATAGGAAGTTTAGTGATTTATTTTGAGAATCAAATGTTGATTGTTTGTGGGGCATTTCACATTACCACTGTTTCTGATTCCTTGGTTTAAAGGGAGAATTTATCTTTGATCAGTATCCATTTGAAGTAAGCCACGCATAAGTTCTCCAATGTGGATACACATTACCATCTGTTTATATAAAAAGTGAGGATTTTAGTTTTGCAACCAGGTTTATTGCTCAGCTTGGAGAAAAACAAAACCTAGCATTAGTGACCTATAGAGCTGGTTTTCTAAAGCTTTTCTTTCATTGAGGATTTTGATATTTCCTTTATTCCTTTTTCAGTTATAAACTGCTCTTTCTCTTCCCCCTCTCATAATGCTTTGTTGGACTTGAAGTAATTAAGAGTTCAAAGTTTACTGTTTATAAATTCAAGCAACATCTTAGTATTAGAATTTTCATCTCATGTCATCATGTCTTGTTCCTAGATGTCCAAACATGCCATCTTCATCAGCCCTAAATCATTAAATTTTTCCCTTCACATGTGTTCTTTAATAAGTCATGCTTTCTCTCTTATTTGGAGTAGGAGTCTGCTACTGAAGGAGCAGCTGTTTCTTCTTCATCCTTATGCGTTTGTAATGTAATTTTCATCTTTAGGCTAGCCAAACTTGCTAATGCGTGCATTAGTTATATGGAAATTGCCACATAAAGGCTTGAAATTGAGTCTGAGCTATTCTTGTTCTTCCTTTATGAACCTATATAATCTTCACAAGGAATCCTGTATTGTCATGCAAATTAGTCAAAAGATGACTCGCATAGTATCCTTAATGATGCGCATGTTAATTATGCAAACTGTCATTTCCATCAACAATAAGAAAAATAAAAATATTTATGAAATAGTATGATATTACGCAATAGTTTCCCGGATATAATAAATATGGAATTCCTGAACAGTTTCTTTCAAGATTCTGCTACTGGAGATTTAACAATATCACTGCACATATTGATTCTTGTTTTTCTTCTGTACTAAGTATGGATTCTTATTGTCTAAAAATACTTTCCCATTGTCAATGATTTGAAGCTGACAAAATAACAATCTTAATTTTTTTTCCACAATATTGAACTTTATAACCCCCCCCCCACAAAAAAAAAGCTGCAAGATATTTGGGAATCTTCTCAATGTGCTAATTCTATTAACCCATTTTTCCTAAATGACTTGTATATGTATGCACTTTTATCTTAAAACAAAATTCATGTTTCTGGCCTTTATTCTTCTACAGAATTAGAACATTATTAGTCCATTTGCATTTTATTCTTCTGCAGAATAACGCAGCATTTAATTTTCATTTTTAGGCTTCCTCTTTTTGCAAACTTATTAGTGAAAATATATTCTATAAGTACATAGAGTATCTTGTCGTGAAGGTTGTTTCAAAGTGAAGTTTACGTTTAATACTTATGCTTTGACTTGTATGTGCTCATGAATAGAAAGAGACCAATTTTTTTTACTTGCTTCATGCAAGATGTTTGGTCCAATTATATAGCAACGTTTAATACATCTATAGTATCAAAATTAGATGGAGACATTTAAATTTTTCCCCTTTTAATATTGTATGCTTGATAATCTTTATAGCTATCTTAATATTTTCATATTTAAATTTATGTTCTTGCTATGTTGTTTAAATATATAGATATTTTTTGGATAGTAAGTAATTTAAATATATCATTTTTTAATCCTATCCAAAAAATTATCCCTATTTTTTTAAAAAATGTCACATATATACATCGATTGTGGTCACAATTAGTGTAAATATATGACTTTTTTTTTTACAAAAAATAGGGGTACTTTTTTGTATAGGAGGTCCTATTCAAAAAAATGCTTGCATATCTACACTAGTTATGATGTCATAATGAGCATAGAAATCAATAGGTTTTTGACACCAATCTTATTTACATTAGTTACAAAACTGATTTAGATAACCAAATTTAATTGGTGTAGATATCCCTTTTTGTACTAGTGTGTAACGTTATCTTATTGAAAATAAATAAATTCTACATATGTCAACTATATCTAAAATTATTGAAACAGTTGAATTATACAAGTGTAAAATACTATTATAGAATTAAAATGAGAATTTTATTTAGTGTTTAAAGGCTTCTATAATGTGCTAACTTAGATAGTTAAAAATACATAACCCCTATATTTACTAAGAAAAAATTAAAAGGTTGGGGGGCTGTGACCCCTATTAGTCCTCTTGTCTCCACCCTTGTATAAATTGTTTCCAATTGTAAGCCATAAAAAAAAAAACTTTTCAATTTATAGTATAGTACAAATTGAACCCAAATTGTAAATTTGGAGGCCCAAGCTCAACTCAACTTAATCGACCTTAAAATAATTAAAAAAATATTTATAAAGTTTTATTCACTAAGTCAAGACTAGGTTTAGGTCATTATCTCCACCCTCCACCTATGATGAGTAGTCACGATAGAGGAAGTACATTTTAAATTTAAGAAAAGTTGTGATCGCGAGGCTTGGGCACCAAGCTAGGATCATCTATAAATAGAGGAGTTCTTTCTCAACAAAAATCATCATCAACATTAACAAACTATTAGTCAAGTTCTCAGACTCCATGTCTGCTATTTTATTTTATTTTCCTTTTATCATATAGTTTTAATCTTTATTTTTTTATTGTATGGCCGGCATAGCCTATCACCTCTTTCTTTAATTAATTTATTTTTGCTTTGCATCTACATTAATTCTTTTTACTTTGCATTTTTACATTTAAGTGAACTGTGGTAAAAGAGTTCAGTTCTTTGCATTTAATTAAAAGTTAAGTTCATTTATTTTTTTGAAACCTCACATTTCAAGCATGCCTTGCGACGCACCTTTTTGTTTTTGCCAAACAAGTACACTAAAAACAAAGCTATCTATAAACTCTATCAACAGCTACTGGATACATTCATCGTGATGAGATGTTAAGCTTTCTTTTTAGCTTCTCTTTGTATATTTTCAAAGGATTAATAATCATTTTTTTAAAGGAGGGGATAACGTATATCAGTAAGGGTGCCTTTGGAGGGTAAAGTAAATAATAATAATAAAAAAAGAAAGTAATGGGTCAAGGTTGCTATTTCATTTTTCCTTAGTCAACCACGTGCACGTCATCATTTTCAGTCCATGTAAGCGTTCGTTTGAATGTTTCTTGCTGTTTAATGTCAGTGTGTGAGATGCTATATTTTAATTATTTTAAAGTAAAAATGTTATAACAAATACTTTACTATGTGTTTCTGGAAGAAAAATTTAGAGATTAAAATATATCTTTATTCAGTTAAAATTTTAGATTTTATAGAATAAGTGTTTATATTTAGTATCCACCTACCTTACACAAGATCAGTTTTCTTATTTCAATAAAAGGGACACCTATATGTAATATAAAAAAAAAAAAAAAACTCTAGGTAGCTTTTGGCCCTAATGTTTTTCCCCCCTTCAAAAAGAGTGTAAAGGCCCCAATGTTTTTAATAGAATGTGGATGGCATCTTTGTCTTTTGACCACAGTTAATTACCAAAAGAAAGAAGGAAAGAAAGAAGGGCATCTTTTTCAACATACGTGCAAAGAACAGCGAGGGAGTCGTGTCTTGTAAATAAATCCTAAGACATCGTGAATAATGTATTTATCTGTACCATTTACGTTGTTTATAATTTTATTGAATGGATAGCGATGAAATTAAGATTCTGGAGAATGCCATATAAATAGGAAACTAGAGGCATATCACAAGCACGTAGCAACAGAAAGGACAAAGGGATTGGAGGGAGAGGAATAGTACAGCAGAAGAATAATGGCGTTCATAGAACGGAGTGTGCCGTGCGATGGGAAGAGGATGATGAGTCTGGAGGAGTTCAAGCAGTGGCTCCTGAGTTTTGATTCCGACAGCGATGGCAGAATCAACCATTCTGAGCTGAGAGAGGCCGTACGACTCAGCGGAGGGCTTTTTGCTTCCTGGAAGAGCGAAAGAGGCATCAAATCTGCAGACACGAATCACAATGGTTTCATTGACGACAACGAATTCAGAAATCTTGCCCACTTTGCTGACAAGTACTTGAACATCAGAATCACTGGCTTCTGAATCTTCTTTTCTGCTTTCCATGCATGTTTTTGGGTCATCTATCCTAGTCATAAATCTTAGTTGGAAATAAATCCGGAGCATCAGTCGCCAGAGGCTTCTTATCTTATTAATGAAAATTGCAAAGAATTATCTTTAAATTCCGCTTAAGTTGTCATTTTGTTCTACTAAGTTGTACGTCAATGGAGCTTGTGATATTTAATTGCATTAAATTGTTATTTTACTCTAGTAAGTTGTCAATAAAACTTATGGTATTTAATTGTGTTAAATTACATTTTGTTGTACTAAGTTGTCAATAAATTTTATGATATTTAATTGTATTACGAGTAATGGAGTATTTGTGAGCAATATAATTCTCTCTAAAAACTTTGAAATGCTATACATGATGTCAAGGACTAAAATCTTCTAGAGTTGTAAAGATTATTCATGAATATATGTGACGTGTTTTTAGAATTTTTGTTTATGTAAATCTTTTTATAAAACATAAAATCTTCTATTTCTTTCTTAAAGAAAGCAAACTTGATGAAATTGACAGATTTTTAATTTTATAAAATTCATTTATTAATATTAATTTAGTTAGTAATAAGTGAAATATATGCTTGTTAGTCGGATCAGGTTTGAAGTCGAATAAGAGTAGTCCTTGGAATATAATGTCTTCAAAAGCATTGTGGCTTCACATAAGTATTGCGGTGAATATATCATGCAAAAGAAGAACATTAGTTTGTATTTAAAAAAAAAAACAAGAAGAAAAAGAAGAAGAACATTAGATTCACCCGCAGCAACAGGATTATATTCTTTACCTGTGGTCGTGGAGCATACGATTCGTAACTTCTTTTTACTGTTGTTACATAATGTGGCTGCAAGCGATTCTTGTGACTGATATGACAGACAGTGCGTAAAGCAGCAATTCAGCTTTGCACACGTGTCATCCAATAATTGATCTTATTAGGGCCGTCTTTCTGTGTGCGTGAGTGGGTATAACTTCAATAAACAAGGAGTTCTTAGGGATGGGAAACACGCCAGCCTGGTCAGGCTTTTAAGTTAGTACTGAATAAACGGGTTACAAACTAGCTTATAAGTTAATATTTTTACAAGTTAGATTGGATCAATTTATCAAATAAAATAGGTTAAGAAATTTAATCCAACTTATTTTTTAACAGCCAGCCCGTAAAAAATTATCAAAATATTTTTTAATAATTTAAAATTTATATAATATAAATATATATTTATTTTATATTTTTTAAAAAATTAACAATTAAAAATCTTGTAAATAAATAAAATAAATATAGAATTCAACCAAATAAATTCATTTTGTTAGATTTTTATTATCAATTATCTTCTTGCCTAAGTGTGCTATCAATCATTAAGAAAGAAAATTTGAATATAAACTCATATTATTTTTCTCAATAAATTCATATTTATAATTTTAATTAATAGATCTTATGAGATTAATAAATAATATATATTTAAAATATTTCTATAAAAATTAATAAATCATCTTCACAAACTATAACAAAAATGTCATTTGCAAATTATAAAAAGGATTTACACTATATTTCAAATGTGAAGAATATATTTGAAAGTTATAAAGTATATATTTAAGAAATATTATTATTATATATATTTATAAAAATATATAATATAATTAAAAATAAAAAATTATTTTTTTAAATATGCTAACCCTCGGGTCAGCTTGTTTTAGATCGCTATTTTTATGGGCTGAGCTAACTTAGCCTGTTTTAAAAAATGGGTCAATTTTTTTAATCCAACCCGTCAAATTGTGCGTGTACTAGCCCGTAGGCTCAACCCGTTATCCCGTCTCTACTTTAAGTTTAGTTTTTCAAAAATTATTTGATTTTTGAAGCCTAATTTTTATTTAAGGGGTTTAAAGTGGGGCACATAAATCTTTTATTATTGTTATTTTTTATTTTTAAAAGTTAAAAATTTCAATTATAACATTTTATATTTTTTAAAATATAAATTATAATATTTAAAAATTAAAAATATATAATAAAAAATTTAATTTTTAACTATAAAAATATATTTTAAAATTTAAATTCAACTGAACAAATAAAATATTTTATTTTTTTAGAGTTAAAAATTAGAAAGGGTTTAAAAGAGTCGCTCGAGCCAGTTTTTTTTTAGAGCTTATCAGGGCTGAGCTTCAAAGCTTGATTTTCCTAAAAAATGATATTTCTTTAAGCCCAAACACTTATAAAAATGAGTTTAATTGGGTTATCTGTTAGGTCAAACTCTTATTCCTGACTCTAGGAATTATCCTAGTGGTAAAAGCTACCTTTATTATTGGAAGAATGGCATTAAAGGCTCTAAAAAAGAGTTTATATCACTTAAAACCTAAATCAATTTGAAATTTATCTGTAGGCCTTAGAGACCCAATTGTAATATTTCTTCAGATCGGAAATACTATTTTGCTCTTTATTTGATTTCAATTAGAAAAGCTACGTGAACCTTTAGAGAAACGAAGCTCTTCCTTCTCATTTCACCACTCATTGCTCCATTGTTGCTTGTTATTTTTTGTGTTACCGTGCTCTCTTCACTATTGTTGGCGCTCGACCTGATCCATTCTTTGTCGTTGTCATTCATCCCAAATACTCTCATAACTTGACCTTGAGCTTCTATCAGAGTCTCGTTCTTGCCATCTGAAGCTCACATTCTCACATGGTCACATCCAATCTCTTGCGGTCGCTCATTATCTCAACATTAAGTCTTTGGTGTTTGCGATTTTGGTAATTGGTTCTATTATTTACCTCAATCTCTTAACATTGAATCCTATTAATTAGATCCATAAGGTGGTTTAGAAAATGAGAGGACCTTAATTTTACGAATGAAAAATTTTGTTTAAAATTTTCCTTTTCTCTCTCGGTATCACATTGATGTTTAACCTTGTTTTCTTATCTTAACAAGTCAGATTTGGCATGACTGTTCTTATAATAAGTTAATAGAAACCAAAAGCTAGTTTTGGTTATTATTTAGTCCACCTAACTAGTTGGTTAATATTCCATTCCAGAAAATTACATTTCACATACGTCAAAAATTAAAAGTAAGACATGAGCTTAAGAGAGATATGTACATCTAATTAATTTGAAGAACAAAGAACAGAGTCATATAGTAGTCTCAAGTTGTGTCTTGGATGGTTTGTGTAGCCACATACTTTATATATCTAACTGATCTCACTCAAGTTTCTTAGTTTTCTATGTACGATCTATACAATTCATATATATATATATATATATATCCTTAACTGAATCGTTGATGATATCCTTCTTCTAGCCTGAGTTTCTGGATAGTAAAAAAATAGTATTGCCAAAAAATTTTAAACATTTAGATCATGTGAGTAGCCAATGTCAACACAATGATATTTAATGATCTAAACCACAAAATCATCTTAGCTGACTTTTTTTAGATAGTAAAACTAAGATGCCATATTTATCTTATGAAGTTTCAAAACTCCTCTCAGTATCCTGCCCCATCCCTTTAGACCTATTCCCACCTATTAATACGTCTGTAGCTTTTGATTAGTGAGCTTGAATAATAAATGGAATGTTATATATCTAACCTGGAAAAATATTCCTGTAAACATAAATATGAGTGAGTTAATACCTGAAAGCTTGAGATTCTTTACTTCCATGTATTCTTGAACATGTTCAGGTAGTAATGACTTAAAGGATGTGTTCAGCTTCACTTTAATCAGACTTTAACATGTCATAAGGAAAGCTGCTAGGCTATTTAAAATTAACCTCTCCAAGTGGTAAATGGATATGTAATTCAAGCAACTCATGCTAGCAAGAGCTAAGAGCTCCATATCAATCACTGAGCAGTGTGACAATTTTATCTGCAATACAAGAAAATTAACAAGTGCTACTTAATTCTAAATATAGCTATGATGTGAGTGCTGCTGCCCTTTCGCCTCTCTACAAGCTCTGCATGATGTAGAGTTGAGAGATAACTCTTCTCTGAAGTCTAGATAATCTAAACCCCCTTGGATGACTCAGGAAATGCCTTTCTTGCCTTGGCAAGAAAGGCTAGAGGAAGGATATCATCAACAACAGCACGAGCCAGAAACAAAGCAGTGAATGACTGTTGAATCTTTCCTTAGTATTTCTAGTTTTGTTTTGGTTCCCAGATTAGGTCACTATTAGTGAATGCACAAGTTAGTTCTCAAGACTAACAAGCTTGTTACAAAATAGACTATTTTAAAAAGTCTTGTTGTCATCCCTAAATCACTTGATAAGAGAATCAACATGTAATGAATTTTTTATTTTCAAAGACTAATTTATGCACTCCATAAACTTCAAGTTATACATATACATCACATTCTAATAAAATAGATTAACATGTGTGTGTGTGTGTAACACAATTTATATGCAGAAATGTGTAAGTTGAGTAACTTGTTCCTGAGTTTTGATGGTAAAAAAAATAATACACACACATAACTCAAAGTTTAGAAGAAATATAGAGTAAATTTAGTCCATGATTATTTGTTGGCACAATTATTGAAAGGGTAGCATGTTGCAAGTATCAAGGCTTAATTACATTTACATGAAGCTTGCAGGATTCCTTAGGCCATTAGGAGCAGAGAAAATATCAAAATACCTAGAGAGAGAGAAAATAAAAACTTTATAAGGAAGCAAGCTTTCATTTTTTTTATATCCCTTTCCTCTTCTTCCAAGCCAATAAGTGACCAACTATATAAATATTTGTAAGCTTTTAACATAATTATATGAATGGAGAATATATTAATGCATGTTATGCTTTGCTATCCTTGATTATTTTCTCTTTTACTAATCATAGTCAATTTGTGTAGGTGTATACCATAAAATGGCTTTCAACAAATCACAAAAGCCAATATCAACTACGAGACAGTGTGATTTTAGAAGAGAATTTTTAGAGATTAATAAAGGCAAATGCAAAAATGTAGGCCATTCAAATGAGGTTGTAGCTAAAATATGGAAATGAGCATAGAGGAGAGGGAGCCATATAGAATGAAGGACACTAACAATAGAGAGGTGAAAATGTAAAAAAATAAAAAATAAAATTCATTTCCACACTCGATGTTCTCGAGCAAAATTTAAAGAAATTGTTGACTTCATAAAAGAGAAGGCCATTTAAAAAAGAAAGTTGAGGCAGTTGGGTTTTCTAAATTTTTGAATGTCAAAGGTCTAAAAATCCCAAGAGAGTTATGCCATGAGATCATGCGATCTTATGATCCTCTGACT